CCTGATCGAGTAGTGATCTAAACGTTCTTTTATTTCTTTACATTTCTTTACAGATGGGTATACTTTTTATGCTGTACACATATGCATGTCTAAAACTTTCAGTGGACTATCAGTTTTTGTGGGCTAAATCGTTGCCAAATCGATAGGTAACGCCGTACTGCACGCCAAAGAGGAGCAGGACCCACTGGAGGCTGTCGTTCAGATGCACCGCCCGTCGCCACGGCGACATTGGAGGACGCCGTGATGTCGCAGGCACCATCGACCACCACAACGAGATGGAAGGAGCCAAGCGCCCAATGCCCCGCGCGAAATCAAGACGAATCGAGGAACGCAAAACGGCGGCGTGCCTCCTAGGAATTGCGCCGAAAACAGGACGACACGTGGAGCTCTGACGCGAGGAACGAGGACAAGACTCTCGTTGTGACTCAGGCTAGGCCATGGCCTGGCGAGAAGGGAATGTTTAGCAAATCTCTAACGAGTATGGCCCAACCCATTTAGTGGGCCTCCATCTTTGACGAACACTAGGCCCGGAAATGGCGCGAATCGCTGACATCGGAGTCTCTAAAGAGCATCTACACCCTGACCTCTCAAACACGTCTCAAACATTCGACAGGCCGTCCGATCACTGTTCAATTATAAAAAAACGACTCAACCGGAGCTCTCAAACCATGAACAATTTTTTGACCGGCACCCTCATACATGCCCTATATTTAGGCTTGGATATGAGGCGGCAGGGTGCGTCCGCTAGGCCCACCGCTGGCCCACCCCGATCTCACAAAATCCTCCTCCGGAGCAAACCCTAGGCTCACTTCACTCCACTCCGTTCCTCTCCCTGACGCTCCCCTTTCCTCAATCCCGAGCGCTGGCGCCATGTCCAGTGCCAGCAGTCACTCCGACGACAGCTCCGGAGACAAGGACGAGCTGACGCTCTGTATCGCGCTGGAGCGCTCGCGGGTTGATACGCGCGGCAGCTCCGGGTCAGGTGCGACGCCACCTGTCACCCGTCGCCGGCCCTTTCCCGCCCCCGTGCGTGGATCTACGAGGGCATCCCAATTGGTACCGCCTGTCAGACGGCCTTTTGTTGGGGATCGTTGCAGAAATTAAATTTTTTCTACGCATCACCAAGATCAATCTATGGAGTAACTAGCAACGAGAGAGAGGGGAGTGCATCTTCATACCCTTCAAGATTGTGAGTCGGAAGCGTTGCAAGAACGCGGTTGGAGGAGTCGTACACGTATCGATTCAGATCGCGGCCGAATCCGATCTAAGCACCGAACAACGGTGCCTCCGTGTTCAACACACGTGCAGCCCGATGACGTCTCCTGGGCCTTGATCCAGCAAGGAGGAGGGAGAGGTTGAGGAAGAAGGCTCCAACAGCAGCACGACGGCGTGATGGTGATGGAGTGGCAGTTCTCCGGCAGGGCTTCGCCAAGCTCACGCGGAGGAGGAGAGGTGTTGGGGAGGGGAGGGGCTGCGCCTTGGATGTGGTCCTGCAGCCCTCCCCTCGCCCCTCTATTTATAGGGAGAAGGGGGAAGGGAGCCGGCCCCTCTAGATGAGATCTAGAGGGGGGCGGCGGCCAAGGGGGAGGGGGCTTGCCCCCCAAGTAAGGGGGGCGTCCCCTTTAGGGTTCCCCCCAAACCCTAGGCGCATGGGCCCTAGGGGGGATGGCACCCAGCCCACTAGGGGGTGGGTCTCTTCCACCTACAGCCCATAAGGCCCTCCGGGGCAGGTGGACCCTCCCGGTGGACCCCCAGAACCCCTTCGGTGGTCCCGGTACAATATCGGTATACCCCCGAATATTTCCGGTGACCGTATGATGACTTCCCATATATAAATCTTCATCTCCGGACTATTCCGGAACTCCTCGTGACGTCCGGGATCTCATCCGGGACTCCGAACAACATTCGGTAACCACATACTATTTTCCATAACAACTCTAGTGTCACCGAACCTTAAGTGTGTAGACCCTATGGGTTCAGAAACCATGCAGACATGACCGAGACATCTCTCCGGCCAATAACCAACAGCGGGATCTGGATACCCATGTTGGCTCCCACATGTTCCACGATGATCTCATCGGATGAACCACGATGTCGAGAATTCAAGCAATCCCATATACAATTCCCTTTGTCAATCGGTACGTTACTTGCCCAAGATTCGATCGTCGGTATCCCAATACCTCGTTCAATCTCGTTACTGGCAAGTCACTTTACTGTTCCGTAATACATGATCCCGTGACCAACTGCTTAGTCACAATGAGCTCATTATGATGATGCATTACCGAGTAGGCCCAGAGATACCTCTCCGTCATACGGAGTGACAAATTCCAGTCTCGATTCGTGCCAACCCAACAGACACTTTCGGAGATACCTGTAGTGCACCTTTATAGCCACCCAGTTACGTTGTGACGTTTGGCACACCCAAAGTATTCCTACAGTATCCGGGAGTTGCACAATCTCATGGTCTAAGGAAAAGATACTTGACATTAGAAAAGCTTTAGCAGACGAACTACACGATCTTGCGCTATGCTTAGGATTGGGTCTTGTCCATCACATCATTCTCCTAATGATGTGATCCCGTTATCAATGAAATCCAATGTCCATGGTCAGGAAACCATAACCATCCATTGATCAACGAGCTAGTCAACTAGAGGCTCACTAGGGACATGTTGTGGTCCATGTATTCACACATGCATTACGATTTCCGGATAACACAATTATAGCATGAACAATAGACAATTATCATGAATAAGGAAATATAATAATAACCATTTTATTATTGCCTCTAGGGCATATTTCCAACACCTCCTCCACCTCGGGCCGCTCCTCCGCACAGGAAGCGGTGGGTCCTAGTGCCCGCTCCGTCGCCACGGATGCGGAGTCGAAGGCACGCGCCGCCCACCGTGAGAGGCAGAGGGCACGTAAGATGGGGGTTACGTCCGACGCAGGTGGGAAGTACGCCCGTCGCCGCCGCGTGATGCCGGTGCCCGACGAGGAGGAGCGTCTCCTCCAGTGGGTGTACCGTCGGTCACTTACCATGTCGGAGACGGATGCCCAGCGGCTCTGGAGGATCAACGCCAAGCAGCTCTGGCTCGGCATTGAGTAGTTCGAGCGGGAGGCGGCGGAGACGGCGAGGGTGGCCAACCTCAAGCGCAAGCAGGACCGTATCGTCCGACGCTTGAAGGGTTACATCATCATCTCTGATTCCTCCTCCGACGGGTCCGACTCCGAAGGCTCCACGTCAACCCACCTCCTGTCGCGGACGCCTACAGCAGTGTCGGCGACCGGAAGGGCAAAGGGTCATAGTTACAATGTGTCGGATCGTTGAACTGTGTGAATTACACATGTTTGGTGATGTTATGTGAATTATGCTCGTTTGGTATCGGTTTATATGTCCGTTTTCTGTCGATTTTTGGTGATCTACATACTACGTTGGATGATTTTGCATGGATATAGGGTGCCGGATATGAGATGTGCGGCTATGGAGACGCGGATTTAGAGACTGTTCGATAACTGTCCGGGGGCGTATAGGGTGCCGGATTTGGCGAGTCCGGCTGTAGATGCTCTAAATGATGTGTTTGCTTAGGTTGCATGGGGAAAACGGGCCACACTGAGTAGAGCCTGCTGAGGAGATACATGCCAAAATACGACGTTTGCATGTTGTTTGGTCACCAGCATATAGGTTGCCTGCATCGTGAAAGGTCAAAGGAAAATTTAAACGGTCGACCATGTGCTATAAGTTTGTCGAAATTCGTCAAAAATAGCTTCAAACATAAATACAAAATTGAACATTTAACGTCAATGAAATCACAACCCAATCGCCTAAATGGAAACACAACGTCGATGTGCATTTTTTTCGTGTAACTTTTCTCAAATCAAAGCACGTTTGTGTAGATTAGAAGATACTATCGAACGAAAATAGGAGTGAAGGAGATTAGGAAGGTGACATGCTATTATAGTACACTGCTCACATGTAGATCTACTCATCTATGATTTGTGAAACAAAAAACGCACCACATGAAAATCGTGTCAAACAGGGAAGTGAAATTACTCAAAGGAAATTTCGAACGGTCGACGCGTCCAAAATAGCTTAAAATATGAACACGAAATTTAACATATAGAGTGAACAAAAATATGATTTGATAGCCTGAATGGAATCAGAACATTGAGGCGTATATTTTTCATGTACAACTTATTGTGAATTGAAGTACGGTTGTTTAGAAGGGGTGAACAAGATTAAAGAGGCGATTAAAGGAAAATACATGCAAACCATGTACCCGCATGTCTCGCCACAACACCTACGTGCACTCGAGCATCGCTCGGGCCTGACTCACTCGAGTCGATTGATTTAAGCTTTTACAACAATGTAGGTAAAATGATGCTTTAAGAAATGTGTTTTGCAGGCCCAATACTTAGGGCCTGTTCGAAGACTCTCCCGCTTCCTAAATTCGCTCCAAGAGTTGGTGGAGCTGTAGCTAAAAATGATGGAGTTGAGAAAAGGCAGCTCCACAGATTCTCATATTTCAGAGAGCTGGAGGACTGCCGAACAGCTCCTTAATATTCTTTTGCTAAGTGCATTTGAGTTTATGAAGTTCATTGAAACATGGTTGCTTAACAAGGTAGAAGATGCATATCATGTCGGTAACTGTTAAAGTCCTCGAGTTTGACCCTCGGCAAGCTAGCTGCTCGACCACACGTTCCCATGCTCATGTCGGAGAGAGTGAACCCGGAGCGGAACTGCTCATCCGTTGTACACATGAGTCGAGAGCGATACTGTCCCTTGGACATTTCACACGGTAACACGTACGATCAAGAAGGTGGAGTACGAAATCCGCTCCGCTCCGCTCTGCCTCGCCTTCTTCTTTCTTGCTCCGCGCTCGCTCGCCAGAGCTATATTTACACCCGATGCTCTGCTTCACTTCACTTGCCCGCTCCGCTCCGAGCTCCCAGCTTCATTCAGCTCGCCATAGCTTCCCCCTGCGCACTGTACTGTTTGTAAGATGCATCCTACAGCACGCGCCATAGCGCCACACTACCTCCTCCTCCTCTTCGCCAGCTTCTTCCTCCTGCTGCGCTCCCCGTCGCCCGTCGCGGCCGCCGGCGACGTCGCCCTCCTCCTGGACAGGCTCAAGCCCGCGCTGCAGGGCGCCGCCCCCAACGCCGAGCTCGCCACCTGGAACGCCTCCACGCCCCTCTGCCTCTGGCGCGGCCTCCGCTGGTCCACGCCCGCCGGCCAGCCGCTCCGCTGCGACACCGTCGCCGCGCGGGCCAACCTCTCGCTCGCCAGAGACGCCACCCTCCTCCTGTCCTCCATCCGCCTCCCCGCCGCCGCGCTTGCCGGCCGCCTCCCGCCGGAGCTCGGCGCCTTCCCGTCCCTCGAGTCCGTCTACCTCGCCGCCAACTCACTCTCCGGCGCCATCCCGCTCGAGCTCGGCAACGCGCCCGCGCTGTCCGAGCTCGACCTCGCCGGCAACGCCCTGTCCGGCGCGCTCCCGCCCTCCATATGGAACCTTTGCGACCGCCTCGCCGAGCTCCGCCTCCATGGCAACGCTCTCACGGGGGTGATCCCCGCGCCGGCGGGACCCAACGATACTTGTGATCGTCTCCACCTTCTTGATCTCGGCGCCAACCGCTTCTCCGGCTCCTTCCCGGCCTTCCTGACGGGCTTCCGTGGCCTCCAGCACCTCGACCTCGGCGGCAACCACCTCTCTGGAGACATACCGGAGTCCGTCGCTGCGATGAGAGGCCTCCAAATGCTCAACCTTTCTTACAATAACTTCTCCGGTCAGCTGCCTCCGGGCTTCGCCGGCTCGAGATTCACCGCAGAATCGTTCCTAGGGAACAGCCCGGCGCTGTGCGGCCCGCCGTTACAGCAGCCGTGCGTGTCCCCTTCGGGCCTCAGCTCCGGCAGCGTCGCGGGGATGGTCATCGGGCTAATGGCCGGTGCTGTCGTGGTGGCATCGGTGTCCATCGGGTGGGCGCAGGCGAGGTGGAGGCGGAACAGGGTAAGGCGAGCGGCGGAGGAGGGGGTGGAGACGGAGGAAGGCGGCGAGGGCGACAGCGAGGGGAAGCTGGTGGTGTTCCAGGGCGGGGAGCACCTGACGCTGGGGGAGGTGCTGAATGCGACGGGGCAGGTGGTGGAGAAAGCGAGCTACTGCACGGTGTACAAGGCGAAGCTGGCGGACGGCGGCGGCAACATCGAGCTCCGGCTGCTGCGCGAGGGGAGCTGCAAGGACGCGGCGTCGTGCGGGCCGGCCGTGCGGCGCATCGGCCGCGCGCGGCACGAGAACCTGGTGCCGCTCCGGGCCTTCTACCAGGGCCGGCGTGGAGAGAAGCTGCTCGTGTACGACTACTTCCCCCATCGGACGCTCCATGACCTCCTCCACGGCGGCCTCGAGAGCAGGCCGGTGCTGACATGGCCGCGGCGGCACAAGATCGCGCTGGGCGCGGCACGCGGGCTGGCGTACCTACACGAGGGCCGGCACGGGGACGGGCCGGTGGTGCACGGCAACGTGAGGTCCTCGAACGTGCTGGTGGACGAGTACTTCGTGGCGAGGGTGGCCGAATACGCGGTGGTGGGCAGGCTGCTGGTGCCGTCGGCGGCGGAGGCTGTGCTGTCGGCGGCGAAGGCGGACGGGTACAGGGCGCCGGAGCTGCAGACGATGAAGCGGTGCGCGCCCCGGACGGACGTGTACGCGTTCGGGATACTGCTGCTGGAGCTGCTGATGGGGAAGAAGCCCTCCTCGGCAGCGAACGGAGGCGACGACCTGCCGTCGCTGGTGAAGGCGGCGGTGCTCGAGGAGACGACGACGGAGGTGTTCGACCCGGAGGTGGCGAAAGGCGTGCGGAACCCGGCGGAGGAGGGCCTCGTGCAGGCACTGAAGCTGGCGATGGGCTGCTGCGCGCCGGTGGCGGCGGCGAGGCCGAGCATGCCGGAGGTGGTGCGGCAGCTCGAGGAGAACCGGCCCAAGAGCAGCCGGTCGGCGCTGTACAGCCCCGCCGAGACGAGGAGCGATGCCGGCACGCCGCAATACAGCTAGCATTTACGAAGCTTAATGAATGTGTCCATGATGGTCTTCTTGTACCTATGGTCGATCGCCATACCGGCAAACATTGATTGATCTGTTTCTGCTTTGAGGAGTCGGTCAGGAATCCTAGCTGTTCCTATTTTAAGATGTGAAGTAGAAGTACGATTATATAATAAATTAAAGAGAGAGATGCCGATCAGTTGCGCGCGAGACCACTGCAACTGCGCGAGATCACACGATATACTGTACTGTATCAGTTAGCTGAAAGTTTTCTCTCTTTCAGTCAACTTTTTCCCGCCGCACTGTTGCACATGTCAAAGGAGGGGCGCAGCCACAAAGTCATTTTGCACGGTGATGCTACCTAGCGGCAACAAATCCATCATTTATGCCGTCATCAAAATACATCTAGTGATACCAGAATTTGTCCTAGGCATCCATGCATGGCAAAAATATGACAGTGCTCTCTCTCTCTCTCTCTCTCTCTCTCTCTCTCTCTCTCTCTCTCATATGTTAAATCCAACCTTTTTATTTCACCTGTACTAAATTAAATTGTCCCTATATTTTAAATCATAAGTTCTTATTTGATTTTTTTATATATATTTGAACTCTTGGCGCAAAGGACTTTTAAACAAGACCGATCTTGAATACATTTCAAACACATTTATATTTCAACGTTTCATATTCCATATGAGAAACAAGCCTATATGACTAGAAATTTTTGAAAAAAACTATTTCAACAGAAATATAAAACCATCAAATTTCACTAGAAACCTACGAATTTTTGAAACCGATTTTTTTTAATGTGTAACAGTTTATTTCAAAAGAGTGAAAATATTTTTTGAAAAACATGCAATTGAAATACATGTGATTTTTGAAACAGGCCAATGAAATGTAAAATGAAGGTTCTGAATTATGAAATAGTAAACACAAGGAATGAAATTATAATGTAACAATCTGAGACTGATTTTTTTAAAAGAGTGAAAATGTTTTGAGAAAAACATGCAATTGAAATAGATGTGATTTTTTGTGAAACAGAAAATGTAAGGTTCTGAATTGTAAAATAGTAAACACAAAGAATGAAATTATAATGTAACAATGTGAAACTGATTTTTTGAAAAGTGTGAAATATATATTTTCAAAAATGTGTAATTAGAATAGTTGTGATTTTTTTTAATCATGACGGTGAAATGTAAAAATGTAGGTTCTGAACTGTGAAATACTAACCACGAAATGTGAAATTATAATGTATAAATGTGAAACTGATTATTCCAAAAGAGTGAAATATGTTTTTCAAAAATGTCTAACTAAAATAGATGTGATTTTTGTGAAACATGACAGTGAATTGTAAAAAATTAGGTTCTGAATTGTGAAATACTAACCACAAAATGTGAAATTATAATGTATAAATCTAAAACTGATTATTTCAAAAGAGTGAAATATGTTTTTTCAAAAATATGCAATTGGAATATATGTGATTTTCTGAACCAAACCAGTGTGAAGTGAAATGTAGGTTCTGAATTATGAAAGAGTAACTACAAAAAGTAAAATTCTATTGTATCTTTTGTGAAGCTGATTATTTGAACACGTGTAATACTCCAATAGTCCCAAAATAAGTGTCTTAGCGTTAGTACAACTTTGTATAAAGTTAGTATAGAGTTGAGACACTTATTTTGGGACGGAGGGAGTAGTTTATTTCAAAAGAGGGAAATATGCTATTTGATAAATGTGCAATTTAAATAGGTGTTTTTTATAAGCAAGCAAGTGAAAAGTGAAATGTAGGTTTTGAATTGTGCAATAGCCATTACAGAAAGTGAAATTGTAATGTATCATTGTTTTGACATGTGAAATATACTTTCGAATTTAAACATGGTCAAAAAATATCCAAGATTGATCTCATTTCAAGGTTTTGGAGCACGGAGTTCAAATAAAAAAAATACAGAGGCAAATGACAAATGAAAGTAAGAATAAGTAGATGATAGTTTATGCGAAGATACTTGATAGGTTTTGGTGATGTCTCGCCGGCAACGGCACCTGAAATTCTTCCTGCTACTTTTGAGTTGCGTTGGTATTTCCTCGAAGAGGAGAGGATGATGCAGTACAATAGAGATAAGTATTTTGCTCAGTTAAGAACCAATGTTATCGATCTAGTAGGAAAACCATGTGAAACCTCGTTAGCAGCACCTACACACACAAAAGCAAATACTTGCACCCAACGCGATCAAGGGGGTTGTCAATCCCCGCGGCGGTTATTTGCAAGGATCAAATCTTGTAGTGGTAGATAGATAAAATAAAATAGCGGTAATAAAATTGTAGCAAGGTATTTTTGGATTTTATATATGATAAGAGTAGACCCGGGGCCATAATTTTTACTAGAGACTTCTTTCCCGAACAAAAAGCATACAATGGGTAAACAAATTACTATTGGGCAATATATAAAAAAGGGCATAGTTATGACGATATTCAGGGCAATGATCATGTATATAGGAATCACGTCCAAGTAGTAGACCGACTCCTGCCTGGATCTACTATTATAACTCCACCCATCGACCGCTATCCAGCATGCATCTAGAGTATTAAGTTGATAAAAACGAAGTAACGCTTTAAGCAAGATGACAGATTGTAGACAAAGTAAATCTAACCAAGAATAAACCCCGTCGTTTCCCCTTTAATGGCAACAATACAAATACGTGTCTTGTCCCCTACTTCACTGGGGTATAAAGCACCGCGAGATTGAACTCATTACAAAGCACCTCTCTCATTGCAAGATAAATCAACCTAGTTGGCCAAACCAAACGGATATATCGGATAAAAATACAAAGTTATAATAATCATGCATAAAAATTCAAAGAATACTCAACTAATATTCATGAATAATCTGATCATAAAAACCACAATTCATCGGTTCCCAACAAACACACCGTAAAAAAAGATTACATCAAATAGAACTCCAAGAACATCGAGGAGAACATTGTATTGAAGATTAAAGAGAGAGAAGAAGCCATCTATGATGCAGAGCATCCCAAGGTCATCCCCATGGACCTACCATCGTCGCACCAAGTGCCTAGCGGACCCATGACATGAGCACGTGCAAGAGCTCTTGAAACCGAGGTGACATCTCTCCTCTCACATTTCCAATTTGATGCACATGAGACATGGCTACTACCTCATACGGACACTTTGTGCATACTCAGGTATCATGGAGAAGCTAAGGAGCAAGGAGAAGACGAAGAGGAAGATGGACGTGAATATGGAGAAGAAGTGATGAAGAAGAAGCTACAGGCTCCAGACGTCTGCTCACCACCGGACGTCCGACGATCTCCAAGCTCCGGACGTCCGGCCCTCTCCGGACGACCGACGCCACCGCACCCGAGCCAAATCTACGGATTTCCGGAGTCCAACGGACGACCGACGCCCGGACATCCGACCTCGACCGGACGTCCGACCGAAGACCACCCAAGCCGAATATACGGACGTCCGGCAGGCACCGGACGTCCAGACCCTCGCGAGCCTCCAGACGACCGGTGACTCCCGGACGTCCGACGCCTGTGTGTTGTTTCGTGTTGGGCTGCATCCCATGTACCCCTTCGCCCCCTCTTTTACACTAAGACTATATAGACCTCCTATTCCTTCTAGCTAGGGTCAGCAAGGGATTAGCTCATATTTCGTGTGAGATCTTTGCTCATCCACTTGGTTACCTTCTCCTCGAAGATTCGAGCCTTCACCGGAGAAGATCCCCCAAGCGGATTGAAGACCCCTTTTAAGGAAGAACTCAAGACCTCCTTTGGAGAAGAACCGGCTACCGTGTACTGTCCGTTGTTGACTTTGGATCTTGTATCTCCTATCATGTTTCGAGGATCTAGCACTTGTGTAATCATTCTTGTTGGTTTGAGTGTCTCTCTCCTGTGTTTTCCCCGTGTTTACCCTCATTTCCCTCCTCGTGTTCTTCGTGTTCATCGCGGGATCCGCTCCTTTCGTGAAAGATCGACCGATTAGGGTTCTACCCTACATCATCTTGGTATCAAGAGCCTCGTTGATCATGATTTCGGAGCCTCCCCGTTGTGTTGCTAGTCTAGTTTTTGTTGTTTTTGTCCTAAATTCGAAATTCCCCACAAAAATAGCCCCAATTTTTTTTGTGATTTGTTGGTGTGTTGAAATTTTGTTGGATTTGATCTGTGGATTTGTTTTGTTTTGAGTGGATCTAGCTTTTGCCCCTTGTCTCACTACAAGAAATACGTCAACTTGTGACCTTGACTATTGGTCACTGAAAGGTCATTGTTTTTCATTTACGACCTTTTTTTGACCAAAAACAGAAGGTCAAAAGCTGGCGGTCGTAAACTGAAATTAATGACCTTCTTCGTGAGAAGGTCGTGGACGTTTACGACCAAAATATGCCTACTGTTTTGTTTTGGTCACTAGTAGCCTCCCTAGGCCACGTAGGCATCTGACGTGGCAATCTGATGTGGCACAAGAATTAGCCCGGTCCAATTCGGTGTTTATATGGGCCGAGCCCATTAATTCAGCCCATTTATATTTTTTCCTATGAATTTTTTGTCAGCTTCATGGACCAATCCCAACATTGCATACTTTTTATTTTTGGCCCATGGCCTTTTTGTCTCAACAGTTTCATTTTTTTCTTTTTTTCTAAATTGGGTTCACTAGTCAGGTGGGTCCCCATTGTCAGGTTCTAGTACTGGGTCCTAGCCATCAAGGCAATATTCTTCATTTTTTTATTTCACGCAAATAAATACCTGGTATTTAAATTGGCACATAGAAAACACACGAAATACTTCAAATATTATCGACCATCAAAGTGCTACATCATATAACACACATACAAATGTGATCAACATCAAGTTTACAATCAAATAACAAGCTCCACAATAGGAGCAATTTACATCAAGGTTACACTCAAATGAAATCCTATGCACGACTCACTAGGCGACCATAGTCGACTAGGCCACCTTCGCTACACTAGAACAACAATAGAACTATCATCATGCCTTCGGCCGTCG